TCTCTCTCTCTCTCTCTCTCTCTCTCTCTCTCTCTCTCTCTCTCTCTCTCTCTCTCTCTCTCTCTCTCTGTCTCCGGAGTACCGCGATTAAATGCTGATCTGGTGTAAATGGAGGTGTACGGCGGTTCAGATCGGCTTAAGTGCAGCGACAAGATTGACCCGGCTGCATTGCTCTGTCAACGGAACATTGATGGGAGCCCCAGGGGGCTCTGAGGCTTCCTCTGACTCCATCCAGGCTTCTCATCGCCTTGTAACCGCCGAACAAAGCGCCTCGCGTCCTCCTGACATGCTATCTGGAATGAAAACAAACTTTCTTTTTCCTTTCTCCGCCTTTACAATTTCGTTATCCAAACAGATTACAATATCGGAGCAGATATTTGTATCAATTAGATAGACTCTGGTGGTCTGGAATAATAAATATAATGTTTAACAAAATTTATATAGTTTAAAAAAGCCACACTGTATATATCTTGTTACGCGATTACGATCTCGATTTACAATGCCGTTGGAAATAATTTCGTTCTGAAATCTATGTCAAAATCCATGTCAAAATAAATATTTATCTTATAAATATTTATCTTATAAATATTTATCTATCCACATAAATGCTTATAAAGTGTAGAGATAACTTCGACAGATGGACTGCATACCTTTAAATAGAACGAAATGGGGAAAATCTAAGTTTATACAATGATAAAGGGAGCAAGGGAGAGGAGGGTGCTCTGGTCCGACTTATTCGGACACAAATCGCGCAGCTGGGCGGCGAAACGCACGTTTGCACGTTTGCATTTGGATGGATACGTTGGTGATGCGAGTCCATAAAGTAAATTCAGGGAACTCTCGTTCCCGTATAAACACGTATTTTGCATTCACACGAGTAATTTGAATGTATCGTCCCCTATAACGCGTTCTCCGCGTTCCAGAAGAAGGCTTCTCTCCTCGATTCCCCATCGCAATTAGCCGGCCCGACTAACCGTCTAATTGATTCGTTCAGTGTTAATCTTTGGCTGTCTCTTCTGGAGGTAGTCGGGAGGACGGTTAGATGGTCCTCCTTCCGAGACTTTAATCGTTCCCTCGGCCAACTTCGCACAATCTCGCCCCGAGGTAAAACGATATTAACTTAAGACGGTCTTCCGTTTAGCAAGACGGATTAGCGCGCGCTGTCCATTAATGCGATAATTAATAATTTTAACACGGCGGAAAGGTTCGACGACCTCACCCACCTCGATCGCGTTCCGGCGGATGCGTTTATTATCGCGCTGAGGGATAAACAACCGTATCGCGATGAGCGCGAAGCGCGCGGGTTTCTCTCGCAATTTTCACGATGAACGCACACTCTCGACGGACGTGAATCCCCCGGAGATTTTTACAGGTCGTGGACTCGCGAAATTCTCACTAATAAATCGACGACGCACTCGCTTCGGCGCAGTTCGCTTCCGTTCCCAGGCATGCGTTTTATAAAATCTCCGCACCCTCTCTCTCTCTC